TATTGCTCATTACTTTCTGATTATCCATGTTTGTTTCTGCTCTTTCCAGGATCATCAAGCTTCTTGTAAGTCTCTTTGGATATTCATCAGATGCTATTTATCAACATTATTAGGCGATGAAAACTTCCATGGATGTAACTGTCATCTTGAGAGATACTTATATGACCTGGAAATAAAGAATATTTTCAGTACACTGTATGAGTTTTTACACCTGGCAGGGAAATATGATACTCCTGAAGAAAACTTTTGTTGGCAAATAAAGCGAAACCGGTATTTGTCAGCAAATTTCTAGAAATTCAAATACTCTCCACTTAAGCGTGAAGCAAGTAATATCATATTAAAACAATAACAGTAATTTACCGCTATTACTTCAAGAAACAACTAATTACAAATTACTACACACAATAACCTCGCCCTTTGTCAGATGCTTTGGCGATGGCCTGCCTGTCAGTATTATTAAAGTTTAATTTCTGAGTACAGAAATGCACTCATATATATTGATACTTGTTCTCCCACACTATATAAACTAAAAGATAAGATAATCAGATATCATTATTATTTCTCGCTTTCTTAAAACTGATTTTAATGTCATCAGTGTTCATACTGTAATCACTGTCAGATGAGATGGAACAGAAAAAAACATTATCTTCAATATTACTCATTATTTGAGTCACTTGATTACCATAACTACTATCTGTCATATAATTAGTAATAATAATAATAATAATAATAATACAATAACAACAACAACAACAGCAGCAACAATAAACATACAACATAACATAACAATAATGATAAAACATGTCAAAAGTAGGTGTGTGTAGTTGAGTGAGTGAGTGAGTGAGTGGTGAGTGAGTGAGTGAGTGAGTGAGTGAGTGAGTGAGTGAGTGAGTGAGTGAGTGGGTGAGTGAGTGAGTGAGTGAGTGAGTGAATGAGTGATGAGTGAGTGAATGAGTAAGTGAGTGAGTGAGTGAGGATGAGTGAGTGAGTGAGTGAGTGAGTGAGTGATGTGATTGAGTGAGTGAGTGAGGTGAGTGAGTGAGTGATGAGTGAGTGAGTGTGAGTGAGTGGTGAGTGTTTGTGTGGTTGAGTGAGTTAGTGTGTGTAGGTGGTGGTGGGTGGTGGTGGGGTGGTGGGTGTGGGTGCTTGGGTGGGTGGGTGGGTGGGATGGTGGATGGTGATGGTGGTGGTGGGGTGATGGATGGATGGATGGATGGATGGATGGATGGATGGATGGATGGATGGATGGATGGATAAATAGATGATGATGGATAAATAGATAGATGGATGATGAAGAAAGGAAGAAAGGATAGGTAGATCGATGGATGGATGAAGGAAGAAAGGATAGGTGGATGGACTGATGGTTAAAGGAATGGATATATATGGGTGGGTGGGCAGAGGGATGAAGGAAGAAAGGAAGGATGGATGGAGACAGGATAGATGGATGGATGAAAAGATTGATGGATGGGTGGAAGAAGGAATAACGAATGAATGGATGGATGAAGGAAGAAAGGATGGATGGATGGGTGAATGGGTAGATGGATGGATGGATGAAGGATGGAAGAAAGGATGGATGGATGAAGACAGGATTGATGGATGGATGGATGAAGGATGGAAGAAAGGATGGATGGATGAAGGATGGAAGAAAGGATGGATGGATAGAACAGGATTGATGGATGGATGGATGAAGGATGGAAGAAAGGATGGATGGATGAAGACAGGATTGATGGATGGATGGATGAAGGATGGAAGGATGGATGGATGAAGACAGGATTGATGGATGGATGGATGAAGGATGGAAGAAAGGATGGATGGATGAAGGATGGATGGGTGGATGAAAGAAGGAATGGATGGATGAAGACAGGATTGATGGATGAATGGATGGGTGGAAGAAGGAAGAAAGGATGGATGGATAGATGATGATAGAAGGATAGTTGATGGACGATGGTGGATAAATAGAAGGCTGAACGGATGGATGGCTTTGGGATTTGAGTAAATTAGTGAATACGTGACAGCAAGTGAAGAGGGAGGGAGGAAAGGGGTCAGATTACTAATGTGCATTTTCTTTTCTCTATTCGTCCTCTCCCCGGCGCTACTAATGAATAAGCATATATTCTCCCTTGTATGTATGCATACACGATCGTCCTTGCACTCTCTTGTTGATCTTTTTTTATCCTTCATTTTTTAAATCATTTTTTTTCTTCTTCTTTATTGTAGTGCATGGTATCCTTCTCCTTTTTCGTGACCAGCCTCAGTTTTATTAGTGCAATTCACTTTGTCCAAGTCTACCCGCATCTCAAGTAGTCATCTGATAATGGTATGATTCAGCATAACCTTGATAACAAAAGTTTCTCACGCACACACACACACACACACACAACACACACACATATATATATATGTATTATATATATATATATATATATATTATTATATATTTATTATATATTATAAATATATTATATACACAAACACACACAGACGCAAACACACACACACACACACACACACACACACACACACACACACACACACAACACACACACACACACACACACACACACACATAATCTTATTACTCTTCGTTGTCCATTACGCTAATCTCACTCTGGTTTCGCTACTAATTCAGCATCACTATCATGAATAATTCATATTTTATTATTCTTGAGCCGGCCTCTTTTATGAAGATTTTACATTTCGAAAGAACAGGACCCAAGGCCGAAACAACACTGTTTCACTGTTAACAAAGAGATAAAGGGGGAGGGGCCAGGCCATGCTTAGTCATGGCGATACACAAACACGCGGTTAGGTGGCCGTACCCGAGTGGTATACTCTAATAACTAGCTTTTACTAATGTATACAATAACATAGATATTAAGATATACTCAGACTATACACCAGTGCATTTTTCCATATTATCTTAATCAGTTTTACTTGTATCTTGTGGGTCAAAATATTTAACTATTCAAGTCCATTGTCGTCTTACTGCTTCTGCTAATCATCTCTTCCGTGCACTGCAGTTCTTTCGCCTTGGGACGAATAAGCCAAAATTAGATCGGCCGTTTTATGGCTTCCAGCGTCTATTTTGCATTGTCCATTTTAGCAAGTGTTCTTCATTATAGGAAATTATTTTTAACCTTGAAGTTGATATGCCCGTCCTTCCCACGTGGCTATTAGGCCAAATTTCGCTTTTTTCTTAACACTGAAAGCCCAGCTTCTGAGCTGTTTCACGTTTCATGGAAGCTGCAAATCTTTATTAGACAATACCCATTTGCTGTAGCAAATGGGTATGGCCTTAGTATAAAATAAAGCTACCAATTCAGAATCATGCACGATTAAATGTCAATGCTTTATGATCTCTCTGTAGCTCCATTTTGTTTTAAAGATTACAGAGACTATTACATTTCTATGATCACTGTCCAAATAAAATATGCGATCATATGCTATAGTCCCTCTTTTCTATTTTTTTTCGGAAACATTACAGTGACCGTAGTTATACACTCCTATTATGCATCTCTAGAGTACACATGTCATTTCGTTAATAGTTTTAATGACAAAAACCTCCAAATCACAATAGTAATAAGTTGGAACATACGTGATAAACCTTAGTCTAATTCTAATTCACAGTATTATCTCTTTCATCACATTAAATGTATTTAGTGCATAAAATAATAATCGTGTTACTTTAATAAGGTATCATTAATCTTTTTTGTATGTAAACTGTTTAATAACTAGATTTCCTGATGCCTGTGAAACTGTGGTTACAGACCATGCAAAGTCCATGTAGTATACACTACACTGTCGAAAGAAGTGATCGTAGCCTATATGAGGGGATATTATTTGTGCGTGTGTATTTGATTAAATATGCATATTTAATTAACCATTTGGTAGCTGTGCCGACGTTACCTCATTACTACATGAAACACAAACATTCTTCCCCATTTAGCTTTACATCACTTTCATCTCAGTTAAGTGAACGGATAAATGGATTATCAATATATAGTTCTTCGCTATCCCACTCTGTTTTCTCAGTAATGTCGAATTTAATACAACTTTTTAAAAGCCATGTATCACGGCAACTTACATACTGATAACACCCAAAAACATTTACTGGAGCTAAAAGTAAAGTGGCTATATTCGTTTACCCCTTTTCTTCAGCCGTATTCGTACTAGCTTGCGCCTGCAACTGGGACAGAGTCAGGGAATTAACCAGAGCCAGGGATGTGCATTTTATCAAATTGGGGTCGTAAGGTTCACGCTTGCACCACGTGGACCGAGGCAGCCGGTGGAATGGGATGGCGCCATCATGTTATGGTAATAAAACGGATGACACTCCATGGCGCCGATGGTAATGTTCATGAAAATCGACAAAGCTCTTAGCAGTGAAATATCGTTTGAAAGCCGGCGAGTGTAAAAGGTGTTCTAACTAAAACATCACGTGAGAATATGTCTTTATCTACTGGATATATAAGCCCAGATCAAGAGCCTAGAAGGTAAATAAATATCAAAGTACCATAGTAGCCATTTCATAACCGATACAGCATTTGACAAGCTAATATTATGCGAAGAAAATCCCAAACAAAATATATGCACAGAATACCGAGAGTAACTCATCTTGTGACAAGGTACTTTCTCTAAAGGTAAAGTAACGCAATATACTTTATTTAATTGAAGCTATAAATTTAAAAGTCCGCATCACGTCATTTACAAACGAGCAAGAATAAATGTGGATCTAAATACAATTATGTAGCCATACAGAGAAAAAAGTTATTCTCCCTTCCCATTCCTCCTTTGATCTACGAATGAGGGAGATCGAGAGACAGAAAAAATCTGGAGAGGGTGAGGAAGAGAGGTTGCACGAGGCCAGAGGACCGAGGGGTAGTAAGGGGAGAGAGTGGAGAGGAGCAAGTCATAAAATGGAAGGGGAGGAAGTGGAGGAAAAGGAAAGAGGGATTATGGGAGAAATGAGTGAAGATAGGAAGAAAGGGGGTGGGGATGCA